GGTTGCTACTACTGCTACTGCTTGCTGCTACTACTGCTACTACTATTACTGCTGCTGCTGTTGCTACTGTTACTACTACTTCTGCTGCTGTTACTGTTACTATTACTACTACCACCACCACCACCACAAGGGCTTTATTTTAAATGTCTGTGTTGTAATTTTAAAACACTTTCGACGATAAAAAGTATATATTTAAAAAAAATTCCCAATTGCAGCGAAGGCTCAATATAACTATTAACATTCGTAACTTTGCCATAATATGTCGCTAACAAAGACTTTTCACATATTACCTTTTTCTGTTTCTAATTTCAGAGTGTGATTTATGGCGTTTTCCTCTGTTTCTTTCACCATGTGGATTCCAGAGATAAACACAAGATTCGAGTCCTGTGTAACTACCGTGGTGTTCATTTTTTTTCTTTGGACTGTCTACTATGTCCTCGAGAGATAAAGGCGGAGAAAGAATTGTGTCATGTAAGCTGAGCTTCTTTCGCCCAGTAACCAGCGAATAAACAGTTTATTATTCATGTACCGTGTGTGATCTTTCTAGGACATCGGCACTCATTAACTTATTCAGAGCAAAGGGGGTTTCGCTCGAGGGAGCTACTTCCCCTCCTAAACTTGCCCCTCGAGGGAACTACTTCCCCTCCTAGAGAAACTAGCCCCTCGAGGGAACTACTTCCCCACCTATAGAAACTTGCCCCTCGAGGGAACTACTTCCCCTCCTAGAGAAACTTGTCCCTCGAGGGAACTACTTCCCCTCCTAGAGAGACTTGTCCCTCGAGGGAACTACTTCCCCTCCTAGAGAAACTTGTCCCTCGAGGGAACTACTTCCCCTCCTAGAGAAACTTGCCCCTCGAGGGAACTACTTCCCCTGCTAGAGAAACTTGTCCCTCGAGGGAAGTACTTCCCCTCCTAGAGAAACTTGTCCCGCGAGGGAGCTACTTTCCTTTCTAAAGAAAGTCACAAGACCCAAAAAAGACACATACAATCTCTCTCTCTCTCTCTCTCTCTCTCTCTCTCTCTCTCTCTCTCTCTCTCTCTCTCTCTCTCTCTCTCTTGTTATATCCCACCAGGACATTACACAAGCGATAAACACCCAGTGACACAAAGTGCCACCATGCGGATGAGGATCATCCGTGGAGAGGTTCCAGAAACCCCTTTCAGCCGTTAGGCCATATTTATGGCCCGGCTTTTTTCAAGGCCCCCGGTAAAAAGCCAGGAAGGGGTTTCTAATAACGAGAAACATGGGGACGACTTTCATCATTTTGTTGTTGTTGTTGTTGTTGTTGTTGCAAATATAAATAAACTATAATTGACATTAAAATGGTTAACCAAAAGTTAACCCACACTTAAAACCTTTTCACTGCATAGCACTAAGGCCACACAGACCAAGCAAGTCAGACAGTTAATAAAATGTTACAAAGACAAAATTATCATAGCTGATTACTAAAATTGTTAGAAAAAGGTTGAAGTTTTTTTTCTCTCCAAAAAACTGATGTGTGTTCAGTGTAATGTTTGTATGTATTGCATTGTAGGTATTTTTTTACGTGTCTTACAAATGTTGCCGTTTGTTATAATGTTCGTGTCTGTTTGCGTAGGCACATAAAGTAAAGCCTTCTGGCATAATAGGCCCTCGCTAACACTATCTCTTAACAAGCTGCTTTTCATTAACTTATTCAAACTAACAATAATAGTTGTGCTTCTTCTAACACTTGAGTCCTTTGTTTTGTTAACACAGTCACTTCTTTAGCCACAGCAGCCGTGTTTAGCATAACGTTGCTCTTTAAAATAACGCAGATAACAGATTTAGCTTTTTCGTACTGCTAGGTGAGATTATCATTATTATTAACAATCATCATTTTCCACTTTTGCCGTTAAGCAATGTGGGGAGAAACAGTTTGCGATCCATTACTGGATGGGCAGCATTGGTTACTTCATTCCGTGTCGATGTAGAAGCTCTGTAATGTCATCCATCCATGTTCTGCTAGGGCAGCCTCTGGTTTTCACTTTAGATCTTGTCACTCGTAGCGCCTGCGTTAGTGGTTGTTCTGGTTGCATTCTTACTAAATGACCAAAACATCTGATCTTCTGTTTCTCAAGGAATTTGCTGCATGGTGTTGTTCCTACAGTCTGTCTGATAATATCATTTCTAACTTTGTCTCGGATGGCGGCTTATCTCATGCATCTAATTTCGCAGATTTTAATTTTACGTAGGTTGTTGGCCTTTAATCATATCTATGTCTGGCACTAGCAGCGCAGTTGTGGCATAAATATGCTGCTTGGTGTGATCAGAAACATTAATGCCATTCTTCTATTTAGTTATTATTTCCGCTTTTGGTTTCTTTTGTAATACCCTTAGGCTTCCTGACACTACATCCTTAACATTGTACACTCTCTTAATGAGGATTAATTTTATGGGGAAGAAACTCTACTAAGAATAATGCAACGACAAGCAATGTTCATAGCGCGCAAATCTGAGTACAACTGATGCTGTTCGCCAGTCGAAAACGTGCAAAGCCATGTTTGTGTGTATGATAGTGTGCTGAGGAATGTGTTCGCGGATCGAGTCAGAAGTTGTTCAAAATTGTGTTGGTAGGCCGCTTTGTTCGTTATTAGAGTCGTTCGTGACCCGATGTATCACTGTCCTTTCATTTGCTTTGATTCTCTTGACAGATTAATAGCAGAGCTCATATTTTTACATTATCAATATAAAATGTGTTTCCAATAGCCAGAACAGTAACAGCGGTACGCAGTATTTAAGAGAACTGTGTCATGGATTGATTGTCCTCTTATTGGGCCTTTATCAGCCACACAGGGCTTCTAGTGTATTCTTCCATTCCGTCCTTTCCCTGCAGTCCTTTCGATCTTATGGATGAGGTCTAGTCAAGCACCTTTGGACTCTCCCAACAACGTTCGTCTTCAGGTTTCTATTCAAATTCCTCTTTTCCTGAATGTATTTACGTCATTGTTTAGCCATTGCTTTAACGTTTCACAAATATGCCATGGTTTTACCGTATTTGATGGCGTCAATGTTAATTCAAGAAATGCATGAAAGACGAAATCTTGGCAAGGTGTACGGATAGATATATCTGCTACAGATGATATATTCAGTTCTAGTGGGGAGCAAGAAGACAAAACTATCCATGAGGGTGGACTAAAAAACAACAACAACAAAAAAACCTTAAAATTAGCTGTGTCTAGATCCCAGTGTGGGTTCCGGGGCCCCATTGTGGGGAAAACAAGAACAGACCCACTGCCTGTCCAAAAGCATGTCAAAAGAGTTGACTAATTTGGAGCTTCCTTCGAAGTAGGAGTAGATCTGCCTGAGATGCAAGGAATCAACAGTCTGCATGCAAATAACTCAGACCTGTGAAACAGATGAACACGCAACACTAAGTTTCTGGAACAGGACTGGAGTCCAAACGTGGACGAACAACCAGAACTTTTCCCTTGTAGTTTACAGCCGGTGAACGCAAAGAAGAAGAAAAAGAAGTTGTGTCTAGAAAACCATCCTAAGAAAATATTACATATCGATTCAGGACTGACTGCCTGACTGATTTTCTACCCCACCAGGACATCACATACGCGCTAAACACCCTAAGACACAATGTGCCACCATGTGGATGAGGATCACCGTGGAGAGGTCCCAGAAACCGCGTTCAGCTTCTAGGCCATATTTATAGCCAGGCTATATTGCGGCCCCTGGCAAAAGCCAGAGTAGGGCTTCAAAAAACGGAAAATTTCACCCTAAAAAGGACGAGAAAAGCAATAATGACCGATTCAGGAGAAGACAGACAACACAAATTAAAACCTGATGAAACAATAACTTGATACGTTACCACAATATAACCAACATGGATGGAGAGTAAGCCTCTCCGGCCTGTCTTCAACGTGGTCATCGTTATTATCGGATCGAACTGATCGACTAGTTGTGTAAGGAATTAATGGAATTGCAATGGAATTTTTCTAAACACAGATTTCACTGTCAGTTTCTAGAGAATGTTTGATATTCCAAGCCTGGGAGTAAGTTCCCCTGGGTGGTGAGATTCCTAAAGAATTGTGGCCATCCGCAGACACGTACATCCAATCTAACGGTGTCTGTAGTTTTTGAAACGGGTGTTTAAAAAAGAGCCCAACGCTAAACTCTGATTTGGGAGACCCAGGTTCGAATCCTCAGTAAGGTTTGGGATCGTTTTCTGTCGAGAGCCAAAACAAAATTCTAACCTGCACAGTCTATAGCGACAGCACTAGCCCTAAATACTCGGGCTCAAAGACTCTCGACCTACACCCGTAGGGGCTAAATACGGACAGTATAGGACATTTTTGGGTTTGTCGGGTAAATACGGACAGTTTAGGACATTTTTTGGTTTGTCTTTCGGTTTAAAGAAAAAGAGAATCGGCTTCATTGCAAGAGTTTTATTCCGTAAAGGTTCATGATTTCCCCGCCAAGAGTCTAGTTCACTGCTGATAGTGTCGCAAACAGCTCGAATTCCATAGCTTCACTGACGATCGCCAGGGATTTTCGAAAAGATTGGACTCCGGGTAGGATTAGGAAGTCCTAAATCTCAATCACAATCTTTAAAATCGCTAGGCAAAGGGCCAAGCCATTTTGCCAGGGAAATTTTGAAGTATTTTGTATTCCAGTCTTCATTCGTTGCAAACTCCTGCCTGCGATTCCGAAAAAAAAAAACGAACTTTCCCGGTTCAAATTCGCACTGAATAATATATTGGACATGTCTTTACAAATCGACCTAGCCTAAAAAATTCTGGTAAAATGTTGAAAAGGAGGGTGACCAGCGCGATACTAACTACACCAGCCATCTATTGACGATTTATCAATTGATCTATAGATACATGGGTTTGACACCATACGGACTGTGAGCTAGCCGTATGAAAAGTGTTATATACTTTAAACAAATAATCCACACATGGCATCGATAGAAGGGATCGAATGAGATATGGCAGAATAAGAAATAAGTTCGTCGGGGTTGATGACCTACCTGGCATCTGGGACATTTCATGAAACCAATGTCAGCTGGGCCAGTGAAAGCGTCAGTTCTCGGCAAGTTTATGAAATCCCTTCATTCACCAAGTACGGGCCCCACAAATCCCACGTTACTTCATCGTGAGAGCAGGTATTCGGAACAGCACGACTGGCGTCGGCAACTGTTTTATAATGCGCTGTCAAAAATGTGAATGATGGGCAGAAAAAGGGACTGCCGGTTATTTTTTATTTACAGCTTCAGGATTGTCAGCAGTTGAGACTTGTCAATCTCTCTGCCAGTTCGGGACATAAATCTGCCAGCAGTGGGCATTATGCACACTTCAACTAGACAGTTCAATAAAAATAAAAAAAAAACGTGAATATAAAAAGACGCATTTTTAAACCAGAAATAGACTAGATCTAAAATAGAAACAACAATATGCTAAAGTCATGTCAACACGAAACTTATCTGGCTGAAGTCGTGATACTATAAGTGTTTTGAGATGCAAGGCACATTTCAAGAATAAATAGTGTCTGTCAGACAAGAAATAATGAACAGAATTTGTTGAATAAGCAAATGTTGAAGAGATAGCAAGGACTTAAATTTTAAAATACCTGAGAGAATGCTTTAGCTGCAGATTCCAATGTGATAATTATGATTAAGGCCAGAAAGGGTTTGGCTGCAGTAAGTGTTATGGCTGACATGTGTGGTCTACAAAGACTGCCAGTCATTCTCTATCACGGTAAGCGATAAACACCTGGTGACACAAAGTGCCACCACGCAGATGAGGATTCCCCCGTGAAGAGGTCCCGCAAACCCCGTTCAGCCGTTAGACCATTTTTTTTAGGCCCGGCTATATTTAGGATCCCTGGTAAAAGCCAGGGTATAGCTTAAAAAATAAAAAAATTGCATTCCACAAGGAGATGACATGATGATACTTGGCAGTTGTAAATCGAAAAGAGTAGCCTAACGGCGCTGCCCAAGCAAAAACCTACCCAAAGTAGTCCAGGATACCCGCTGGTTCAACGGAGTTTGTGGACTGCTCTGAGATTCTTCGGACACAGGTCTGAGTTAGAAGTAGAACGGAGCACTTATGGGTTACTAGCCTTGTGCGTTGATGTTGATCCGTTGTTCAAACCAAGGCAAACAAAAACGATATTGAAACTTTTCTTCTAATATCAGCAGCCTGACAATAAAGGTCATGGCTCCGACAAAGGCCCTAGAATGGAGTTTACTCAGGAGTTTACCAATGCATGTTTCTTATATAAGATCAAGGAGGGGTACATGCTGAAATAGTGACTAATACAGCTCGCAACATTTCGCAAAATCACATTTTTTTTTAGTCTGCCGTCACTATATGTGTGTTCAAGGAGAACCACGTTACATAGGCCTTCATAGGGTTGACATGAGCATTAGAATCTGCACATCAGGAGGAGATGCGATCAAGTTCCCTTTGCATTGAATTGGCAATCTCTTGACGATTTCTTCCATGTCGGTATACCAAGACGTCATCAACAAATGACAAGTGCGGCTATCCAGCGAGTGATAAAGGGAGATACTTGCAGCTGGAGAAGTATGTGCACTAAGTATTCCATTCGAAAAGCACTCTGTTGTACGCATCCTCTAAGTCTAGTGCAGCTACACATGTCTCTTCTCTCATCTGAAAACCTTCTAGACTTCACAGGCAAAGACTGCTGCACTAAGCAATGTCTCCTTGTTTCGTCTGTATCCCCCAAGCGTGGAAGGTAACCTGTCATGCTTTTCCAAGTCATCAGCGAGTCTACGTGCTACAAGTTTCTCCAGAAGCTTGCCCGTAGTGTTGCTGCATGGTAATGACTCTGTAGTCACAGATCTTGAAATGGTACATTGATCTGGTTCACCCATCCTGGCACGTTGATCTGGTTCACTCAGCCTGGCACACTTGATCTGGTTCACCCAGCCTGGCACATTTGATCTGGTTCACCCAGCCTGGCACATTTGATCTGGTTCACCCAGCCTGGCACATTTGATCTGGTTCACCCAGCCTGGCACATTTGATCTGGTTCGCCCAGCCTGGTACATTGATCTGGTTCACCCAGCCTGGCACATTTGATCTGGTTCACCCAGCCTGGCACATTGATCTGGTTCACCCAGCCTGGCACATTTGATCTGGTTCACTCAGCCTGGCACATTTGATCTGGTTCACCCAGCCTGGCACATTAGTCTGGTTCACCCAGCCTGGCACATTGATCTGGTTCACCCAGCCTGGTACATTGATCTGGTTCACCCAGCCTGGCACATTGATCTGGTTTACCCAGCCTGGCACATTTGATCTGGTTCACCCAGCCTGGCACATTGATCTGGTTCACCCAGCCTGGCACATTTGATCTGGTTCACCCAGCCTGGCATATTGATCTGGTTCACCCAGCCTGGCACATTTGATCTGGTTCACCCAGCCTGGCACATTTGATCTGGTTCACCCAGCCTGGCACATTGATCTGGTTCACCCAGCCTGGCACGTTGATCTGGTTCACCCAGCCTGGCACATTAGTCTGGTTCACCCAGCCTGGCACAAGGATCAGACTGAAGTCAACCTCCCACTGGTTCAAGAGACACAAATGGTAATGTCATAATGTTTTAGACACATTCATGTCGGCCAACAGGATCTTTTCCGACCGTATGGGGCCACATATTACCAATTTGTACGGTTAAATGGAGTTTCTGTGATTTGTTCCTGTTTTACTTACATTCTTCTTGTGACAGATAGTGATTCTTCACTGAGTCACCGGGTGTCAATCTTTCAGTCTGCCAAGATGGAATGGAAAAAAACAACCTAATTTTAAAATGGTAACGTCTGGAGCCCACAAACAATTATAAAAGAGTTGCAGCATTGTCTGCCTGGCATAAAATAAAATGTCAGGTGAATAATATGATGTCAGGTATACTGTAAGATGTTGGTAAAGAATGAGATGGCATGTTGTGACAATACGCTCGGTGACTCCAGAATGTCTTTCCTCAACCTACTTTTATTTCTTTGTATTTTGAAAGTATACAGTAAAATATCGATTTGGATACATCCTTAATCTAAGTAAGACGACCACATCAAACCTTTAATTCTCCTTGACCGTTGATCATATCAAACACTAAAACTTTTTCCCAGATGTTAAGTGTTAAGGTACAGAGATAAGACTGACCAAGCAGACTTACTGACTAGAGATTTGCACACCATTTGTTGGTGTCAGATATTTATCTCCTAGCCAGACCATTAGGAGTAGATAACTCCGGCTAATTGTGTTTATCTCCCCCTGAGGTTACCTAAACTGGAGTGCCGGTCAGATCGTCAATATTGACACAGTGAACCGAAAGTGTTGGCAGAAGAATTGACAAAGTCTGATTTTATTGTGATGACAGGTGAAGTAGACTGGAGGTGTGACTTGGCCTATTAGCTTTGACCAGCTTAATTGAACCTGTAGAATGTGACCGTGGGAATTCAAACAATTGTTGTACAGTCACTGACTGACAGTGAATATACACCCACGGGGAGGAGCTGTGACATCCTTGAATGAGAATGATTTTAGGCGTAATGTAGGAGGAGCTTGATAAAAGTTATAAAGGGGTGAACTCTAGGTCTGGTAAATGAGATCCTGTCCAGCACATGCCATCTGTTGGACTTAACCTAAGCTTGAGACAGAACTTTTGGCATCGTGGTTTCATTTTCCAGGTAAGATCGAAATTAGGTTCAAATCTATATTTTGTGATAGAAATCTAACTGTCTTTTTACTCAAGTGTGTGTCTTCATCACTTTGTAGTACTCCTAGGCGGACATTCCTTCATTCTCGTAGGGCACTGTCACATTGCTTTATATCCTATTTGATAGTGTCATGAATGTTCTTTCGTGCACATGTGTTTCAATGTTGTAAAACTTAAATGTTGATGTTACCATTGAAATTTAATGAACTATCATGTTTTTGAAATCACAAGCGTGAAGATAACTTTGGCAATCTTGTCACGTGTGGTTAATGTGAATCTGTATTACATACAGCTAACACACTGAAATGTGTTTAACTCTCGGGAGGCTAATGCGGAGATTGATCCCGGAGAGTAAATCCACGAGATTTGTTATTTGATTCGCCTCAGAAATATTGTTAGCTTTCTGGGCGCGTCCATTGTTCCAAGCATGGATTCCAGAACTTGTTCTGTCTGACTGAGTGTCATTTGAGTCTGTACGAGAGATGGCACCTGACGTAGAAGACTTGACTATCATTACAGGACTCGTGTAGAGGAAGGCAGAAGATGTAACGGGTGGAATGTGAGACATAAGCCCTTCCAAATTGGACAAGAGTGAATGTGAAAATGAGGGAGAGATGAAATGTTTTATTTAAATAAACATGCTTGATGTTACTATAATATACATGCTTAGTGTACATCTAGAGCAGATACTACAAATATGCGCTTGTTTCTTCATTCTCCAGTTCCCACATTGGGCAGGGACTAGTAAGCATCCATTCATTGCTGACCGTCTGAGTGTAACGACCTGTTTGAAGCAGTGAGGACGACAAACTGGGAAAAGATAGGCAGGGTCTCAAGCCGAGAACTGTCCTGACGGTGAATTCTCCTACTAGAAACTAGAAGCTAAGTTATGTACAACTTTAATGTCATCTATAACATCATCCCAACTCTACTAGCCTAAACAAGTTCATTTTATTTTAGTCAGATTTATTAAATAAATCTTTTTGATGTTGTTACAACATAGTTGAGTAAATTGTGTACTTAGGTTCAAGTGTCTTTGTGCATATTAGTTTACTTCAGCTAACAAATATTTAAATCACTTGATGGGGGCTTTTAAGTAATGCCAGGAGAGGAGAGCAGTCGGAGGGGTTAAATGAGCACCTGGATTATATCACAGTGGGTGTATCCAGATATCTATCTATCCCTTCTCCTACTCCTGAGGATACAAGTACAGCAACTTTTATTTCATGGAACGAGCCACACGCTGTTTTCTTGGCTATCCAGGACTGTCTAGGATCAACATAGCTTAGATAATAGTCCAGT